AAAAAAAAAAAAAAAAACAAAAAAACATTAAAAAACGATATTTCTTGCCGTCTACCCGTCGGCAATTAATATTCACTCCCAGCATTCAAGGTTCCTATATTTAGCTAACATATGTACTAAGGTTCCTGTTTTATTATATAATAATATTATTAATAATTTAATATATATATATATATATATATGAAAATAAATAAATAATAATAATAATTGATATAATATTAATGATTATTATATTATATTATGATAATTTGAAAAAAAAAAGTAAAATTAATATTAATTGCTTTTTTTCTATAAATCATATATATATATATATATATATATATATATATTTAAAATTAAAAAAAAAATATATAAAAAAAAATACATAATAATAACGATTAACATTCGATTAATTACGACTATTTTAGTAGTATTATTTTATTATTATTATTATTATTATTATTATTAAACGTTTAAGGCAAACAATTATGAATGTATCATTTTACTACTATTAGAGTTATACGTGTGCATTGTTGGTGTTTTTGTTTCTCTTTTTTAAACATTATTTTTTATTAGTTCGACATAATACCGTACAACAGGCCCTATACCGAAAACCACCCTCGTCCCCCTGTCCACTCCACCCTTTAGCCAGTCCCCTACTACCGCGCGATCGGGTCGATCTATGTTATAACACTATATCGTCACTCGTAAACGACAGGCCCGGTTAGCGGCGGCAATCCCGTGAACATGTTACGTTTTATTTTTCAATTACCTATTTATTACGTTTATTCATCTAGCTTATAATTTATTACTAAGGACAAACGCAATACTATTTTGGAAATAATTTTTTTATTTGTGTAATTTTTTTTTCTATTTCGAACCATTATATCACATACATACAATGTGTAATATTAAAAACTATTTTTATTATTATTACCTATTTTTTGTTAAACTGTCTTTTTTTTTTTCACAACGAATATATTTTAGGAATAATTGTTCAGGTCCATCCTCCGACCAGCCTTGTACTGTCCATTTATTGTAAATTATATAACTTTTCTCCCAAAGCCCCTCCAACCCCCACCCAACCCCGTTCACCGATATCTGTACTCTACTACTATTGTAATTTCGCGTCTGACGAAAAAAAACCCACTGCGGTATCACACAATGTTTTACACGATTCTTGTATTAAAATTGTAGTCTACAAATTTGGTCTATACGAGTATTTTTGTTATTGTTTTTTGCCCATATTTTCCTATCACACCTATTCCTCTAGTAGCGTACGATCCGAAGCATTCGGACGCTGACGCCCGGAAAAAGAAAACGTGCGTGTATACGATCAACAATTCGTTGGGACGTTTTGGAGGTAAGTTCTATACGGTTGTGAACAAACTTGAAAATTAAACTGTCGATAAAAATATTTATCGCCCCCACGTGCCGGGGTTCGAATGATAGTTTTGCGGACACAAGAATCATTATACCGTCTACCGATTGGAATGCGGTAAAAACTAGATATTGCTTTACAGTCCGTGCACATAGTTTTGAGCAGGAAGTGTTCGTCCTGAACTGAAGTCGCGCTGGAACGTGGAAGCGATAACAGGGATTTGTAATAATCTCGCGAGTTTCGTGCTGATAAGTTTTTATGTTTCCAAATAACACGTCTAAAGATAACAGAATAAAAACGTAGACGGTGTTAAGAACATTTCAATGCGACGATTACGTAGGGGTTGGACCACAGCCGCGTTACGAGACGTGTATGCTTACCGATATGAGTGTTTACATGTCGACTCCATATGGTAGCGTTCGTGTGCACATGGTTTGGATTTGTCACATTCGGATCACGTCATAATATTTTTCTGTTTGTCCCTAAGATGCGTGTGACCGGTTGTCGGCGGTCACTTCGACACGGTACACAGCGAAACGTATAGGCAGTAACGTATTAGGTAACGAGTAGGTGTAAGCAATATCTAAAAATAATATTTATACTTGTATGCATTGGAAACGATTGGAACATGTGTCCGTGTATATGGGGGCGTTTCGACGTTGTGATAGTTAAATTTGTTCGATTTAGTTAAATGGATAAGACGGATACGCGTTGTGTACCGGTACTATGGATGATGATCAGCTCTCGAGACTATATTTGATTCGAATTACATCTACGTGTATAGTTGTATACAATATAAATGAATATAAATAGGAATTATAAAAAATGTTTTCAGGGCCGATTGAAGCTAAATGGTAAAAACGAGGTTAGGCACGTTTCGGTGTACAAACGATACCCCGGAAAAAAAAGGGAAAAATAATTTGTAATACACATAATGTATCCGTTCAATACGTTTCCGTTACATACATCTTATTTAAAAGCCGTTTCTTCCTCGGTTGGCACCGTACATAATACACGAAGAATAAACGCACGAGACGCCCGTAAAACTGCAGGGTACCTATTATTAACCATTGCGATCATTGTCTGTCAAACAAAATAATAGGTCATTTTTAATAAAAAGCTTATTTGATATGTATAGCTGACCGTGTGTCTAGATAGGTTTGATTCGAATGCGTGGGATAATAGGGAAGAAAAAAAATTCTTATTTCGATAATGGAAGTAACTGACCATCAACGATTTCTCTAAAATAAAAACCATTGAATACAGATGTTTTAATGTCACGACAATAGGTGCGAGCCAAGGGACACAGTTGTAGGTACATATTATACCCTAGTAATTGTATATTTTTAAGATTTCTATTCTGGCATGTGTGTATTAAGACTGTACAAAGCTGTCTAGACTTGTAAGAAAGGACACGTTTGCGTCTGGCTGAAACAGAAAATACACAAATGCTGGAGACGCCGTCTTACCGCTGGTACGTAAATTAAAAATATCTAGAGTTTCATTTCACAGAAATCGCTATAAATATAATATATAACTGCTGTGTAATGCGTTTACGTCCATAACAATGCGAAGATAATATTTTATTCTTGCGACCGAAAACGTCAAATGTACAAAAATCGAATTTTCATAAATTGAAAAAGGCAAGCCTGCAATGATGTATGATTTACAATCGTGTATGTGCGTCTACTTATGCTATGCGTAAAATGTTTTGTGCGCGTTGGTGTGGCCAGACTTAGCACAGAACATTTCATGGCTGGCGATATAAAAATGTTAATAGATCTAACTGCAATGCAGCAATAATCAATATTTTCTAATACCGTACAACTGTCTGTTGTAGAAGCTTCTAGTCGGTCACGCTGCCAACTAACATTTCGTATACCAAAATATTAAAAAAAAAAAATTCAATAAATATGCGCACTACAAAATATACTAGCAAAATTTAGGTATAGTCTATGATTTTAAGATACGCAATCTTAACAATATGGCGACGAACGACGCGATAAGCATCAAACTAATATTGCTAGAAAAATAAAACGATTTTTTCCCAGTGGTTTACCGGCACCATTTGGAACAATAGTGGTAAGAGACAAACACGTGT